ATGGAAGCGACGGAAGGGTTGATTTTGTGGGTAGGGGGGGGGGGTGTTTCGGGCGTTTGAAAGGCGGGGTGCGTGGGGGCCGAAAAACGGGAAAAAAGAGGGAGACAGCACAGAGGGCGGGCGGAAGGCAGACAAGGAGGCGTCCGGTTGTTGCAGGAAGGCGACGACCGAGGGAAGCGAGACGGGTCTAAACGACGGAAGCAGGTGACAAGTGACGCGGACGGGGCGCGCCACACGCGATGAAGTCCCCGAGCCACAAAAATATTTTTATTTATTTCCCTCCCTCGCACCGCTCCCTATCACCCCACGCCTACTAAAGTTTACCCCACTGCGCTTTGATAAACTCCCCTTCCAATTCTCTCCCCCCGCCCCTCCCCCTCGCTTTCTCACTCCGCATGCCGCCTCACACTCATTTTACGTTTACCCTGCAGGCCCCATACAGACTGCTCTCTTCGTCCCCTACCCCATGTTATCCTGAAGCTACTTACCACACAGTATCTATTAGAGTCGCTTGGGCACGTAAATGCATGCCTTGTCTGCGAACGCCTACCTCTACTCGGTAGCATCAGGTCTTTGTTTTATTGGCACCTCTCACGCACACACCCTTCTGTCCCGTTCCTTTTCCCCAAATTTAATGGGAACCATGTCCATCACGTCGCGTCCAACCCCCTCGCCATTTCTCTCACTCCCCCATGCTTCTCGGCGGATTCGTGCTCCCAGGAAATAGAAAATTTCGCATAACATCCGAAACTGAGAAACGCAATAAAAATAGAACGAGCAAAGAGAGTCGCTGCCAGCCGCACTCTTTGGCAGGTTGCAGCGATTTCCGGCGACGACCATTTTCGACTGAAAAAAGACCTTCGCGTCTCAACTGACACGCAGGGCTATGCGGTGTGACCCCCATTTCAGCAGCGTCGGTCTGGCCCCATCCAATCAAGCTCTAAGAAACACCTTGACCGCCCCAATCATCCGCTTACAGCACCCACGCTTCACATGCGTACCGCAGACAACGCATTTCAGAAGCCCGCGCAGCCTCCTCCCATCTACTTTTGTGCTCCATGCATGCGCCACGCGTCAAATCACATTCCGTTTCTTATTTTTCTCTTATTCTTTGATATCCCCACACGATTGGTTCAAATTTCGTGCAGTGCAGTGCAATGCACTTGGGGATATAAAAAAAAACCTGAAAGGATACAGCGACACACTGAAAAAAGAAACCCAAACTCAAAATCTTCCAAAAATCTAACCCAATTTGGTCGACTCGCACTGCCCTGCTACTCCCTTTAGGGGACGGTGCCCAAAAACAAAATCTCGTCAATATTTCAAGCGCATTCTGCGACACAGGCCCCGAATTAAAAAAACATCCTCGCTGTATCCCAATTGTATGCTCTTGAAGTCCTGCGTGCCACACGTGCATATGTGGCGGCTTGCACATGCACAATGTAGGGAGAAAATTACGAAAAAACACCCTAGCGAAAGAGTTCCACCACGTGCACATTTTAACCCCTATCCCTGACGCGTATGATTTTCGCAGTGCGTTGTGGGAGACTTCCCACACTACCACTAGAAGCGCGCTTTCCACCGGCGTATGGCTCGCTGTTGGCACCGCCTCGTCATGCCCGAAATTTCATACATTTAAGTACTGTACTGTATGCCAAGACCTTTCAGGGCGGATCTGTGTCTCTACTATTTTCCGCGGGCCACCGCCGCAAGAAAAATCCGTCCGAATTTTCTTCCGTTTTTCACGCTTCCCGCCTTTCCGCTCTCCTCCACACCTCTTCTTTTCGCAGCTGCATCATCACGGTCACCACTAAAGCGCCTGCGCGTATGTTGAGATCAATTAGAGACACCCGCCACAGGTCAATTCCCCTTCATTACACGTTCGTCAAATCAACTCCCTGTTGTCTTGTCTTGCCAGTGCTGTGCGGCACTTATTTAATGCTCTGCCCTGCCGACGCAATTGAGCGTCAATTTTTAAATACACGAGAAAACAACCGTCGCAATCTAAAACGCGATCATGTCTTCTGGCACAGGCGTGAAAATCAACCAAGTAGATCTTCATGCCATTCTCGCGCGCCACTTGTCTTTGTTGAGAGTCAGTGGGATTCTGTATGAGGTATGTCCTCGTCCGCCGCTTTGGCATGCCAACGCACTCGACCGTTCTCCCTTGACTTTTCCCCGCATGCTGACGACGGCAAGTGCATAGTCGCAACTCTCCACGCAACGCTTCACGCACCTCAAACGTGACCATCCAGCTAGAAAGTCATGACCGCTACGTGCAGGTATGGACGCCCTTTTCATGACTCACTAATGTTCCATCCCAACACCCCTCACAGTTCGATACGACATACCATACGTATACGGGGCCAAGCCCCGCAAGAGACCTTCTTCTGGATACCACATAACGCGGGTACCTGCCATGCACTTCTGTTTAAGCGAGAGCAGACCTTGTAGCTCCCATATCGTCTAAGCATATCTTACAAATGCAACACCACTGGACACACCCTTCTTGCACCACCACCTCTGCGACGTAGATAATGCACGTCCTTCGTCAAAAACCCTGTACTCTTAATTTTCCATTCCGCCTCATATCCAATCTCCCTGCGCTAGCTTTCGCGGTAAATATTCCTCTGTCAAGTATTGAAACCCAAAAGAAGACAAAGCCTGAATCTCCGCCTTCTCCTTGTTTTTCACCATCAGCTCCAGTTCTTTATACCAAGCCGGGTTCTTCTTGATAAAGTCCTCCTGTAGCAACTCTTTCCCCGTCTTAATATCGTGCTCCGTCATTGGCAGTCGACACCTCTCCGGAATCCCATACTTCTCCAAGTCACTCGGCCGCACCCCAAGCCACTTGATATCTGGCGTCGTCAAATTCGCAGAGTCATAACTCATGTTCTTCGACCCAGACATGTACACGCTTAAAATCTTGAGCCCGTACGGATCTGAATCCACAAGCCCCATGATCGGAATACCGAGCGTCTCGCGCAACTTCTTTAAAAACAGCCGCGTCGCCACGTCGGGCTGCCCCTTCGCCGTGATGATAATGCAAGCGTACTTGCTGTAAAATCGATCCTCCGCCAGCCGCATGAATGCTGCATCCTTCTCCACAAGCAGTATAAATTCAGCGTCACTCTCAATGTCTGTGATCCTCTCCACATACGGCGGAATGGCCTTCCCCCCGACTCCCATGCGCGTGCAATCAATCAAATCGCCCGCCTCCCGAAAACGCACGCGGCCAATGACGATCCCCTTCTCCGATGCCACGACTGAAAGGCTCGTCCGTGTGCAACCGACCATACATGCGACATCGTTAAGGACCTCATCACTTTCGTTCTGCGTCTTAAATAGCTTAACATCGGTATAAAACAAGTCCCTTTTCGTGACATGGATGCCCTTGTTGCACAGCTCCCATACCAGCCCCATAATCCTGGTCATAATGGTGACCTTGCGCACGGTCCCCGTGTTCGCAAACGCCCGCGAGCTCGTCTTATCCTTGAGTACGATGCGGTCGAGCTCCTCCACGTACATCTGATTACTGGCCGACCTCGTTGGCACGACATATCTAAAGCCTTCCCCGCGCATGATCGACCGTGCCACCACCGCCAGAATCGACTCGATGCCGCGACGCACGCGGCCCGTGTCCAGCTCTAGCACCTCCTTGAACACGTCGCCCAAATCCAGCTCGCTCAATTTGCGACGTGCGGGGCCGGGCGCGTCCATCTCGTGCCGCAACTCCTGCACGGGGCCCATGACCTGGGACACAGACATCGTTGATGAAGATGGGGCTCGTCCTCGCTTCCGAATCTGGCTGTCGCCGCTGTCACCTCGCCCGCTCGCGCCACCGCGACCACGGCCTCGCCCACGGCCGCGCCCACGGCCTCTACCGCGGGCACGGGCAGGAGGACGCGTCGTTGACGACATGAAGGGAGCGATACGCAAGTTGTTGAACAAGTTGTTGTTTGGCTTCTTTTGGTCTGCTCCTTGCTTGCCAGTTTTCTCTTTCTTCCTCTTTTCGGCTTCTCTTGCAAGGGCCTACCTTTCGTGCGGGACTTTCGCAAAAAAAACCAGTAGAGGGACGGGAACGTACGGTACCCTTGGTACTTCAAAACGTTGGCCAGGGTGGGGAGAAGGAGAGTGTCATCTCTGTTCCTGTTGGTTTTGGCGCGAAAGTGTCCCGCGACGCGTGCCGGACACGTGTACACGTGTACATAAATGCAGCCACGTTTAGTACGTGTGCATCTATTTTTGTGAAATCTGCGGGGTGCCTATCGGGAAATATTAACCATTCAGTAAAACACGATCTCATGCGAAAATGGACGGTGTTCCTTCACCGGAGGTCAAGCGTGAACGCGTAGACACAGCAGTGGCCGCTATATTGCGCCACCGACCGCACTTCACTCCGTACCCTACCACGCTTAATCTTATCCTTAACCCTTCCCCCATTTCTCGACCGCACTTCCACTCTCCCATCCCTGTACCCCTGCATTCACTGCGACGCCATCCCTTAACCATGCACGTCTTCCGCCGCAACCGGCCAGCGCCGGCGTTTCTGCCTCCCACTACTCTCTCCACGACCACATGGATCACCCGGGGTCGAATGAACGCTACCTGCAAGCGCCGCATTGTTCGCCCGGCCGCTTTCCGCATGGCCTCCGCCGCAGAGAGCCAGCCCCATGCCCAGGAGAAGATCCCAATCGCACCCACTTCTGAGAACAACAACCCCATCGCCTCCGCCCCGGAACCGGACAGCCCGGCTCCAGAAGCAGACAACTCGGCCCCGGGAGTAGACAGCCCCATTGACCTGACCTCAGATAGCAACCCTAGCGCCGGCGCCTCGGATACACTCGAGGCCGCCACATTGCCAGCACCCGTCACCCCCGCTGAGCCCATGGACCTCACGCTTGGCGAGGAAGCCGGCATCATCACCGTGTCTGAAGATCTCGTGCCCGAGAAAGACGAAACCTGGCTCTCCAATCTCGTCGCCTCGGCAGGCTCCATGTCTGAGCGACATCCTCTAGCGGCGATGAGAGCCCAGGCCCAGGCCGACCTCGAGCACTTACCCGTGCCCAACCGCCGCATGGAGGAGTGGCGATTCACTGATCTGCGCACAGTCTTTGCGAGTCGCTACGTCTTAAATGCTCACGTCGATCGTGATCAGATCGCAAACTTCGACTTACGGCAATACGCCCCGGATACTGCAGGTGTTGTCCTAGTCTTCGTGGACGGCATCTACAACGAAGATCTCTCCATTGTGAATGATGATTCCGCAAATGAGTGGCTGGCAGCAGGTGGTTACTTTGGATCGGCGGAGAATTATCAAGGCGATGCAGCTGTCGTCAGCAAGATTTTGACGGAAAGGGAGCTTGGAAAAGATGGTGAAGGCGGCTTGTTTCCGACCGCCGCCCATGCCATAGCCACAGATGCAGCCATTTTGGAAGTGCCGGATAATTACGCTGTGTCGCGCCCTGTTGCCGTCGTTTTCGTTTCCACGACGGGTGAATCACCGCGACGAGCAAAAGCGTCGGCTGCACGGTTAGCTGTCATTGCGGGGAAGGGCTCCAAGTTGTCGCTGCTTGAATCGCACGTCTCTTTAGATAAGGAGAATTCATATAGTTTGACGCTAGCGACGGCAGCGTTCCTTGTCAAGGAAAGAGCCTGGGTCTCACATTATGTGGTTGATGATACGTGCCTAGAAGCGCACGTACTAGCCAGTATACACGCGGATGTTCGCACGAGGGGTAGTTATGAGATGCGCTCTTTCGGGTTAGGTTCAAAGGTTGGAAGATTTGATGTGGGGGTGGATTTGGGGGAACCCGGAGCTCACGGCCTCGTCCACGGCGCGCTTGTCGCGGACAAGTATCAAATCGCGGATATTCACTCCAGAATTTGCCACAACTCTGAAAACACTACATCCGATCAGCTGCAGAAAAACGTCTCTGCCGATCATGGACGAGCCATCTTCAAGGGAAAGATTATCGTCACAGAGGATGGACCAGGCACAAACTCGTCCCAACTGTGTAAATCACTATTGCTGTCGAACAAGGCATACGTGGATGCAATGCCAGTCTTGGAGATTTCCAACGAGGATGTGCAGTGCTCTCATGGGGCCACAGTTGCGGATCTTGAAGAAAACGAAATTTTCTATTGCCAGAGCAGAGGCATCAGCTACGAAAAAGCCCAAGTACTGTTGATCACCGGCTTTGCCATGGAAATACTAGGCGACTGCCCATTCCCGAACGTTCGAGAGCTCGTTGATAGAAAAATGAATAGTGTAGCTGCTTCGGTTGTCGACCGAGAATGGAAGAAAACGGAACTGACATCAATATAAGACTATTATAAAGCAACTTCGTACAACTGGCTAAAGTTTGTGGTTCAATCTGTGTAAATTGTTCAGGACCTTATGCCGGCCATGTATAAACAAATCAAGCCCGTTTTCCTTTACGACATTCAATCCCCAGCGACCACAACATTCGAACTGTCGGCGGGTCCACAAACGATGGTGCATCGGAATGTCCATAGTTGTTCTGCAGCTTGCATGTCTAGCACCCTCACTTCAACTGCGTGCGACACTCTTTTAGTGTTGGATATCGCTACTACATATACTGTGCACATCCCTCTCCACCTGGCCAGGGGGCACTCCCTTTTACCACATTTAGTTAATGAAATGTCAGTTTTCATAAAGCATCGCGGGGGATCATGGGGACGAAAGCAGGCACAAGAAATGAATTGGACGCCATGGAAACGAGCAAGGGGTGCAAGTAATTGGCGACTAACACGTCAACTCTACTGCAACAGCACACGAAATTGCAAGTCATAGTTTGAATAACTGGTTCCCTTGCTTCATTTTTTGAAAAGAGCACGTAGGACAGTGATTAATTGACTGTCCGGAACTGCGGAGAATTGTGTGGATAGACCTCACCTTCCAAAACTAATGAAGAAATGGAGGGGTGTCGTCATCACACACGTCTCTTCACGTTGTGCAGCAGCTCAGATGCTCAGGCTGGTCTCTTACTCCGTGTGTTGATGTTTAGTATGCTTCCAGCCGCCGGGCTCGAAGTTAACTGAAGTAGTGAAAGTATCCTTTCGGCCCCGTGTGCAGTGGCGCAGTGATAGAGTCTGGGTACAGCAGATGAATTATCAAGGCATAAAGACATCTTTTATGCAAGATATTTTTGGACACTTGTCCACGTGTCCACTTTGTACAGGATATGTATACCGTACGCGTGATGCTCAACCTTAATGTGCTCGACCTGCGAGGAAAGCCTCGAGCGAATCCCCGCAACTTTGCCTGCATGGTGCCGTCCGTAAAGGGCAACCGAGTTTTGAAACAAAAAGAAACAAAACCAATTTCCTCACCCCGTTAGTGCCTTTGCAAATCCAGTCGTTACAGGGGGGGAGGTAGTCGGCACTTTGGAAGAGGCCTGGCGTGAGGAAAAAGTGCACGCACGTCTTTGACTCATCTACAAACTGATATTTGCTCACCGACAATGTTGTTTGAAGATGCGAAGAGATCCATACTCGAGTTTAGTCCACATGACTACATTAGTGACGTCATTTCATCACTGCAGGCTGTCTCGGAGCGAATCAGCAGGAAAAATATTAACGCAGATGCCTACAGTGACATCGTGATGGCTTTAATCGACAAAGTGGCTCCTGCCTTGGCTTCCTGGCCACAAAATGAGAACGAGAAAGGATGTCGTTTTTTCGATTCTATTCTACTTGACGGTTATGCGTCTATTGCATTCCGTGAAATGAGCGCCAGTGTTTTATCGAGAAGCGACGGCTGCGAAGTCGTCGCGAGGACGTTGGTCCTATTTGTTGCCAAACAATTAGGAGGAGTACAACGGTTACGTTCCGCTCTTCAAGCTACGGATGCCCGGGACCATGTGACCGCGTTGGTTCATCTCCCGGAGCGAGTCCTGAACGTTTTGTATGCGGAATCAGAAGACTCATTTAACGATGGGACTATTCTTCGAGAAGAAGACTACTACGAAACTCTAGCAGAATCAATCTACCTGCAACCTAGGGCACCAGACTTGGACCGAGATCAGGCACTCTCAGAAATACTCCGAAGAATAGTTCGTATGAAACAAGCGAATACAATTATATCGTGCTGGCTGTCAAAGGGCAACGTAGAGAGCATTACAGCGGCGATATTCCGCACCCCACAGAGTTCTCTCGAACCTTTGGTTCGGGCGTTGCTTGTTGCAAAGGCTGATTCTTGTGCGAACAACGAGCGCATCAGGCATGTCTTGTGTAGAGTTGTCAAAGGTAGTCGCATAGCATGTGAAGCATGCATCAGCAGTATTCCGTTTCAGCGACCGTTGCTAAAGAGACCAAAAACCGCCCTTAGTCGCCTGGCAAGGGCTGTGGGCGAAGCGGCCGGGAAGCATGTTCTGAAGCGCGCACTTCGAATTGCCGCAGAGAAATGGAGCGACGAAGACTTTGCTATTGCAGCTGACGTTCAGCTGCAAAGGCAGATCACTCGGCTCCTGTTGTATTATTTACATCTTACGTCTGACTTGGAGGAGTACAAACAAATCGGGGAAAACGCCGTCATGATGACCTTGGTGAATGGCGTACACGTACGTCTTGGGCAAAATGATGTTAGAATTCGAAGGCATGGAATGGTCATCGGGGAAGCTTCGTCCAGACATTGCGGAGATGAAAAGCCTCTGTCTTTCAATCGAAAGGACATGACAGATGCTCGTCAGGAGGACGCGCGCATCGCGGGAGACGAACGAATTGAGAACGGGGGTGATAGCGATTTCACAGAGCTTGCGCATAACCTTCAAGATGAGTTACCGGACGAAGAGATTATTGACGGTACGATCCAAGAAAGCCAAAAGCTTTCTTCCCCACCAGAAACGCAGACCATGGCGGTACAAGCAGTGAGGCATAATCACGGACATGACTTGGAACTAAATAGCGCGCGGAGACGAAGGAGGAAATCATCACCATCAAGATCAGGGCTCGTAGTGACAGAGGAAGAAGGGAAATGGTGGAAAGATGCAAATGGGAATGAATACGAATGGACAAATGTAGATGATTGGGACAGCATTGAGTCTTTCGACATGACAAGCTCATCTGAAGACGAAACAGGGTCGCTTCACCAGAGGAGAAGAAAGGTGCACCGCGATTTTGAAGCAGTAAGGAAGAAAATTTCGGCACCGATGTCAGTGGCGCGACTTCTAGGTTTACTCCGCGAGGTCAACAAAGGCGGAAGTGGTGGTCTGGTTGTCAATGCAGCGACGACGGCGGCAACGTTACGAACCATAGCAAGGCGAGCGGAAAAATCGTTTCTACAAAGCGGGACTACGATGCACGTGGCCGGTACAGAGTTGATTGTGGAAGTGGCTGCGGTGGAGACTCATCGATTCCCAGACGAATTCATGGAAGAGTTAGGTGCAGCGCGAAGGCACGCTATGCAGAAACTGATGGAGATGGATGTTGCTGGATGCGGGGTGTCAGTAGTGGAACGGATCATATGTGGACCTCACAGCAGTATAGGGAAGCGAAGCGAATGCCTCTCCATGCTATCAGCAGGTATCCGAGGGGCACAGGAGCGGGTGAAGGAAAGCGAGAGACAAGGCAACGAGGAAGAAGATAAGGCGATGAGGGAAATTGAAGCTAAAGCAGAAGCGAGTCGTATTGGAACTGTGACAAAGCGAAGTAGATTGGCTGGACGAAAGAAGGCAGTGGCCATTGGGTCTCTGAAGGCATGGGATGATGAAGGATTGGATAGAGTATTTCAATCGTTAGCGCAGGGATTGGTAGGTGGGGGCGGGGCGGACTTTGTGAGATTAATGGGGCGGGACAAACAGCTATGGGCACAAGGGATAATTACATTGGGTGTGGTAGCGAGTGTGTCGGGCGTGTCTGAAGAGGCGCAACGAATGCGGGGAGATGTCGTGGAGATTGCCATTAACGAAGTCCTTGCAAGTCCGGCTGAAGAAGATTCAGTGGTACGAAGGGGATGCGCGCTTGCATTGGGGGCCGTGATGGAGGCAATGACGGATGCAGAGATTCAAGGGAGAGTAGGAGGTCGAATGGAGATAGCCAATGTCAGGGAGCGGGAGATATTTGCCGCAAGGCGTGCTGCAGAATGGTTGGAGCAGGCCGCAACCGGAGATAGGGACGTGGGCGTGAGACGGTTCGCGAGCCGAACGTTGCGGATTTTGGCGGATCGTGTGAAGCAGAACGCTTGAGGCTGTCGTGATTCACACAGCAAGCGACACAGCGACGAGCAACAAAGAAATTGCCGAGATTTCGCGGAATGAGTGGCATCCACTCTTGTGACTCTCATGTCACCTGGTATCTGCAATTCAGTTGCTGGAGGCCCGAATATGTGCGTTTGCCGGATGTATGGGGCGTATTCCGCGCCGTTTCGGAAGTACCGCAAAAAATCACAAAACGTCTGCAGATGCGCCACTTGGCATTGTGGGTGCCTCACAAACCGCCATGTCCCGGCCCATGCGCCCTCACTCTACCACCCGCTTGTTGTATTTTTGTTACTTCTCTTACGTGACAACGCTTGAGTAAGTGTCGCTCGACTGCAAATCTTCATTATCAAATCCCACAAATTTCCGCTTCGCCCCAACATTCCAATAAAACTCCCTTAAGCACACTCTTCCTTTTGCTCCACGCCCCCTCATCGCACATTCCCCCTCTCCCCGCCCCTCCCCGCTCTGAACTACCTACACCTCTCGTCTCGCAGACCCGCCCCTGCTTCTTTGGCGCCCACTTCCATCAATTCAAACCATGCCCAACCCCGCGACTCCACGCAACGTACCACCACCACATCAAAGCCCGTCGTCATCTTCCGCGGGACCCGTCATGCACAGACCACCCGCATCCCCGACTCCGTCCCATCTCACAGCGTCTCCTGCATTCGCCACGCTCCCCCACCCTCATCTTCATCCGGCCTCCCCGCACGCCCATGCCCGCGCTCTAGTCGCCCATCACCACCCCCGCCATGTGTCTCCTGTTGCTGCCGCCGCTGCTGCTGCCACCGCCGCCGCCGTAGCCACAACGCCAAGCCCAACCGCCCGGACCACCACAACAGGCCCCTTCGCTGGCTACCCCCTTCCCGTAAAGAAGCCGAGAAAGCCTTACGTCATCACGAAGCATCGTGAAAACTGGACCCCGCATGAACATCAATCCTTTCTCGACGCACTCAAGAAACACGGCCGCAACTGGAAACAAATTGAGCAGCATGTCAAGACGAAGAACGTCATCCAGATCCGCTCTCATGCTCAGAAATACTTTCTCAAAGTCCAGAAGAACAATACTGGGGAGCACGTACCGCCTCCGCGTCCAAAGCGAAAGAATGCCACAGCCCAAGCAGCTGCTGCCGCCGCTGCCGCTGCCGCCGCCGCCGCAAATGCCAATGCAGCTGCCGGTACAAGACCACCGCCTCTAAATTCCCCGATGCTGAGATCACCTGCCACATCAACTCCGGCCTCACCAGCCATGTACGCTGCACACCACGCCGCTCTCGTGCAAGCACCGAATATGGCCAACTATGCCATGCAAATGGCCGCCGCCGCCGCTTTCCCATACGGTTCTCCATACGCGCAGATGGGTCCGCATGCGATGGCGGCCGCAATCGCAGCTGCTACTGCCACAACCACCGCGACGACGCCACCGCTGCAAAATACTCCGCGGCGAGCAAAAAGCGTACCAGCCCTTTCATCGCAATCCGCTGAAGCGCGAGGGAATGTTCGTGGGGTCAAGCGCGCTTCGGTAACACCTTCCTTGCCGACCACAGACCCAGGACCGTCGCCGAAAATCTCAAAAACTCATAGCCCGTACGCTGGACACATGCGGGATGTTTATGGGAAGGCAGATACTACCGGATCATCGAGGAGCAAATCAGGTGGGAAGGCGAAGGAGAACCGAACGTCAAACTCCTCGTCACCCAACTTCGCGAATATTTATTCGTTCTTTGCCAAGATGTTTGATCCGAGTTGCAACTTTGATGCTATCACAGGCGTGAAGGAGGCGTCAATGTCACCCCTAGATAAGGAAGTGGTCAAATTGTTATTGTCCAACCTTGAGTACAACATTGCAAACACGACATTCAGGCAGCAACTACTGGAAACCTATCGTCAACAGCTACAGCAAAGTGTTCAACAAACAGTCTCATAATACTGTGGGGCACGTTTAGGTGCGAAGCAACCTGGGGTACATCGGACTGTGACGTAGCTAGTGTTGTAGGATTGCGCCTTGGCTATCATTGCATTAACATATATTCATTGCCGTTGCGCGGAAGATATGCGTTCCCGGTTCAATCTATTTGCGCTGCTGCTTTTAGAAATAACGCCACCACTTGCTCTTCCTCATAATTTCCGTTTAGAGTTGGTGTTGAACCCGCCTATCGCCATTTGGCTCCTACAGTAACTTCCTCATTCGTAGTAACAGAAATCGCGCTTACCCAATGTGTACAGGCAAGACTTGGGAGGGGTCAGAATAGCGGTTCTCGTGGCGATTGAATTAGGGATGCGGGTATCTGGGGATCCCAGAAGCATTTGACGAAAAGGCGTATCCAAGTGCTCGTATGTGAGACAGCGAGATCACACATTCTCGGGATTTCAATGCAATCGTCGTGGCGATGAACGCGAGACAAGAGCAACTGCCCAGTGTGCAGGGTGTGTCTTAACAAGCGCTTGTTGAGTGTGCTGGCAGCGATGGTGCCATCACATATTGCTCCTACTGTTGACATACGGTAGACACCAATACACGTATAACACGACTTCCCGATATATAATTTTATTTTAGATTTTGGGTCAGAAGCCCACCAGAGCCCTTGGGGTCTCCTCCAGATAGACTGCCGCACAATTGCCTCTTCGGGCCTTTCGGGCTCTTCTGCCGTTTCAGAAACACACGATATCAGCTGTCGGTCTCCTACCCTCCACGCTCGTTGCTTATCGCTGACCTGTCGTGCACCGGTTTGTGCGGAGGGCGCGCCATCAGGTGCAGGCGTAGCCCTTGCGGCAAAGAACACGGGCATCTTTCCCCTGCCATCGAGAGAGGCCTTCGTAGTTTCCGGGGAACGTAGTTTGACGTTTTTGCAAGTGAATAACCTGCACAAAAGGCAGCTAAGGTTACCAGAAAAGCGACAAACACAATGTCAAACAGGCGCAGTTCATGGAAGAAGAAGAAGAAGAACAGAGAGCCTCTTCCCCCGGTAGAACCGGACACTTCCGCGGCGATCGGCGATACGGAGTTGACGCACAAGAATGTTAAAATATATCTCGTCAAGCTTCCCGACATGCTTGCGCAGCAATTTCAAAGGACTCCGGGCGACGAGAAGGAGGTAATTGGCAGGTTACGTATACCGAACGCGGCAGCAGCTGGGGCGCCTGGCACAGTGCAAGAACCGCGCATTTTTCTGGATAAAGTGCGAGCGACGAAGACGATGCCCAAGGACAACGTCGTAACTGAGTATGATATTGAATTTAAAGAGGAAGAGACAAAGGTCATCGTATTCAGCCAAAATCGAATTGGAGAGAATGCTGATATGCGCATGGAGGGGAAGGTAAGTCATCACGGCATCGCGCGGCCGAAGATGGACGCCAAGTATAGAAATGTCAGCAAGCGAAGAACCTTGATGTCTCACAAGAGGAATAGGGAAATTGTCCTCATGGGGGAGAGTGAGAGAAGGGCTGTGCAGCGCGATGAAATTCGACCCATGTCAATGACAGAAACCTTGAAGGACCGTGAGAAGAGGAAGAAGAAGAAGGAAGATGCGAGAAGGCATTTGGATGTGCCAAGTGCCGAGTACCAGAAGCATGTCAGACTGGCTGTTTTCAAAGCGTTTGCTATACAAGCACATTATTTTGGGGATGAACTATCAAAGGTCACGGCGACGGGCATGCAACAATTGCGACCGATCATTTCAGAAGTTTGCGCGTACAACAAGTCAGGACCTTACCAAGGGCAATACGATCTCAAGGATGAATATAAAACAGTCGCGCAACGCCAGCAAAAGAATCGCGAGTTGGCAGCATACGAACAAGAACAGCTAGAGCTTCTTCAGAAAAAGCGAGAGGAAAATGCGGAGCGAGAAAAAGAAGCTCAAGGTTCGAAGAAGCAAAGACTGAGTTAGGTACAGAAGCTAGTTCACAGGAGACTCACATGTACTTTTTTTCAAGAGGAACAGGAAGCGAGCGTGCAAATTCATATCTAGTTGATTTCATGTCAACACATTCATACAAACTAGATATACAGTTATGCAATCATGGTCAAGTACGACAACTGTTAGCGGCAACGCCGACGGTTTTGGCATATCTAGGTGCCGGCAAGACCCTTTGACGAAGGGATCGCCGATGACTATTCTTGGTACTGCATCCGCTTTATCGTTGTTGTTAGCAACATAAATCTCTTGATTGAGGGTGTGCATCCACTAGAAGGGATGTACACATTACATATGCCCTAAAGGGAACTAGGGGTCCCAAAATTCTTCAGCGGTGTGCCTTTACAACCGACCAGCATCCGCGAAACCGAGCTGCGCCTGCTGTTGCTGGCAAGCCGCAAGGATGTCAATATTCCACTGACAGGATGCGACGTCATTCGAAGAGCGCTCCATACATTTCTTAAACTCCAGGGCCTCCCGAGCGCACACGCTATCCTCGATGTGGTCCTCAGGTCCCGCGGCGAATTCCGACGCGCCATACGCAGGCGCGCCCTCTGCCCCGACTTCTTCGGGTGACGGAGCGGGACCAGAGCCTCCGCCGCCGAAGAGAGTGCGATCAATGGCGCGACCGGCGGCGACGCCGAGCCCTGTTGACGCGACGTTGGCCATGAAGCCACCCATCGCGGAACCCTGCTGAGGCTTCTGGGTGGCTGGCGGCTGCGCCGAGGTCGGGGCCTGCTTGGCCGGGGCGGTGGAAGCCGAGCGCGATGGCGCTGGTCGAGGGGCCGCAGCTCGCGACGGGGCGGCCGCGGGCGACGGCCGGCGGGCATATGTCGAGGCGGATCTCGCCGACGGGCGCGGAGAGGCGGCGCGACGGCCCCCGCTCGGTCGTGAAGATCTTCTTCCCATTTTCTGTGCGGAGGCGTAGAAGCGATGCAAGTCTGGAGCGGTTCGGCTAGGAGTCTTGTTCTTCAGGGATAGTCAGAGGTGTGGCTTGCGGGAGGGGGAGGTCAAGACGGTTTCCGCGGCAGTGCTCACTGGAGGATGCATAGGCTGAAGCACCAGTATCCGCGAGCTGTACTGTAAACACCTACAACGGGTACTGTAAATGGACGAGCATCTAGAAGGCTTTCTGGAAAATGGATTTGGACACCATACAGTACTTGTACTTGTTCACAGGAACTCACAGGTTCCTTCACATGTACATCACTGTTGATTGGACCACATGTAATGTATTCATAGGATGGAATGGCATTCATTTTTTTGTTGTGTTCTGCACTGCCCAATGAAATTGAGCAACAAATAAATAGAATCGTGGAGACGTGGAGAGTAAATTTATGTTGCTTCCGCCTTATAACTTATAACAATACATGAATAAGGACGGGAGACAGGCAGTATTCGTGTATGGCGGCTATTCTTATCGGTGTCTTTATGAGAAGGTCAAGCAAGGTCGTCAGCTCGTTCTGAAAATAGAGTGCCGTATTTGGGTCTGTTGCTACCCCTGCACTATTGCCGATGCTATTCTTCGCCAAAAGCGTCTTGAGATAGCAGACTTCATGCAGCGCTGAAGCGCCTTTTGCCTCGACTACTGCTATAGTGGTACGTAATGCATTCAGTTGTTTCAACCTGCTGTTGTTGGTGCGTCTGATACAATGGCATCTGAATGACATTCCACGTGCGTGAAACTGTTCCCATCTTCTTCTAAAGCGTTCACGACAGAGTCTGTCATATTCTCGATAGAGACCTCTACATAGTAAATACTCGAAATTTAATCTCCAAAATAGAGCTCCCCTAAAACAATATTATTTATTCTTTTGTCGCATAAGAATAAAATGCTGCTGCATGTGCCTTTTTTGGGCACTTTCGGGACCGGGAGCCAGTCATGATATTCTATTACCGAGGATATTCTTATAACGAGGAAGCACTACATGTATACACATTTTCAGAATACAGTGCTATTGTTCTGTACATCGCGTTAGACACCGCTGTCTTTATCCGATGCGGGGTGCGCAGGATGAATACCAAGTGTGTGGACTGCACGGACGAGCGATATCGATCTCTACAGCAGCCGCTCACGTCGGGCACTACACTGTACCAAAGGTAACCTTATTGTACCATTTCAAACATGATGATTATTACCCCACCGTACAGAAGAGCAAATCTATTCTCTGGTATTTGTCCTACGGACCTTGTCGATCTTCGAAGTTTGTAGTCGGCACCATCCGGTCCAAACAAAACTAATCGCTCATGCTTCCACACACCTGCTCATCACAAGCCACCGTCCCATTGTTATGCCCTGTTAATTAGCGTCCCCGAGGGAGATCCACACTCAACATTCTCTTTGAAGCCCAAAATTTATCTATCCCACCATGTACACAATAATATCCGCCGACTGTATGCAAACGATCAAACATTTCTCGATCGTCGATGTCGATTCCCCGTCCGCGACAGGAACCTGGCGTTATTTTCTTGCTGATCGGCGGCACTGCAATACTGAATAGCACACAGGAATACCTTCCCTCAGATAACACAACAAATAACTTACGGAATCTTCTACCACTATATACTTGTAGCGAGCGCTCCACACTTATAATAATATTGTGTTCCAATCAACTGACGCAAAATCGTCGGAGTCCCTTACGAAATGGATTCAGATATGTTTCTCAATCCTGGCTGGAATCCGCAATTTCCATACCGCATACCTCCAAAACGACACACTCTTTAATTCTTTCGCCCGATCAAGTCTAATTTCATGTGATATCGGTTACCAAAGTTTCGGCTCATAGCTTTCAAACATGATAAAAAGAAGCTTCTTGAGTCAAGACAGCGACTTTAGGGGAACTCGTTTAATCCCTCACTTTGCCATCTATTCCTCTTGATCCGATACAATAAAGGTCCTGATATCGGTGTCCGCAATCCGCGTGTAGACCCCTAAAGACACTGATTTCTACTTTCGCACCAAAGCCCATGTCTAGGAGCAGTCTGAATAGCTCGCAGTGAAGGTTCTCGTACAGGGCTTCGCATTTACACGGAATCCGATAACTGCAGTCGATAATCGGGACTTGACATTAGCTTGCTTCAACAGTTGCGTGCTATGTTTCATGCGTAGGACTTTAACATTTAGTTGGAACGAACTTATTCAGCATGTTTGAAAACAAAATCCAACTCCCGGCTGATGGGGCGCTTCCTTTCCATTCGGACAGAAAACAACAATGTTGGAGATACCGCTCGCATCAGAGCTTACGAATATGGTCAACTTTATTGCCCTTGACTTGGTCTTGCTTCCGTATGTGATGCATGTTTCTGGACTGTTGGCTGGGTATGCGAATCATTCGACTTTGAGCAAAACTCGCAAACTCCGCCTCGTGGTCTTCGACATTCCTCTTGTAGGCGGTGGCATAGTCATGTCTCGTTGCTGGTTGCGAACTTTCCTCATCATAGTCAGGCTCTCCGTCGTCGCCGCTGTGGCTGTGTGTAATTTCGGGCTGGAGGGACGCTCGAGGGCAAAATTCGTGACGAGGGAGGCGGCAGTCCGGGTCCCGGGTGTGCTCAACGATTCATTCTTCACTATTTACAAGGCAACAGAGCGCCGTATGAGGTGCTCCGACTCGACGGAAAATGGCGACTTCAAGTTTGGAGCTGTAATCGATGATCGATGCTACTTGGAAGGGACTGATGGTGTTTACATCTCGAAGCTGGCTTTCGAATCCGCAAACATCACTGTATCCGCGACAAGCTGTGAAAGTCATGTGCGGTGTTCGTATTCGACCACGACGTTTCAATGTGATCGAGTAGACCACGTTTGCGTTGGAAATCCAAAAGATTCTGGATGCGAGGGGGCAAACGGTGTTCAATTCCGTTCGTGTGTATCAGTTGTCTACGACTATTCCGATGCTTCGGGATGGATTTGTCTGGAGGGATGGTTGACACCTGGCATTGCGTCAGAGCGAGCGTTGTGCCGCCAATTCTGGGCTAGACGACAAGATGTACAAGACTGGGTCAACCTATATATATCTGACACTGATGATCCACTTGTTGCACTCTTCGGGTCTGCGTATGGACAGGAAGCGAGACGAAATGTGACTGTGCCCGACGGTGAGAAGTCCTTGACAATCATCCAAGCGATATGGATTGTGCCGATGATTTGGGTCGTTGGTGTGGCTGTAGTTTTGACGATATGGTGGTTCTTGTGTCGTGTCACAGGAGCTCATGTGATTGCCCACGACGAAAGGGGATTAACAAAACTGTTAAATAGGCAAATTGAGGAGAGCGTGTCCCGCTTCGATGACTTTGAGCCACCTCAAGATATCTTATTCATGGAGAACGCACAAACATGGCTGCCGTACATGAAAGATGAGGATCAATCAACCTCGACAGATTTGGTGGCCTAGAGCACTCAAAATGACCTTGAAAAGATATGCGGATGTACTATTATCTTGAATAGATGGCAGTGTAGATAAAGAAGTGGACAAAGATTAACAATTCTCTATTCATTGTACAATCCTGCGAGAAGCAGCCTACATCATTCTGTTATATGCGATGAAAAATGCGTGATAAACATCAGATAAGCCAAGCTTTCATGAGGTATACCGTGGTCTCAATTGACAATTTGAAGAGCATGTTCTGAGCGAGCTTAAACAAAGGCAGTTGGGCTAGCTCCATTATTTTCACAGGATCGCACAAAAGAAGTCCATGCTTTATTCGTTCTTCTTGATGTAGAGCGTAGGGATTGTTACGCACGGCACTGGCGTAAAGAACATCTCCCGGGAAATTCTAGATTTAGCCAGGTGAGTGAAGGTCGAAGAGGTTGACAAAATGGACTCAAAGATGTTTGAGACGTGATCTGCTGCAAAGAAGCAATTTTTTGAAACAACAGCAGAACTGCGTAGAATGTTACTCTATTCTGCTCTCAGTTGGATGTGCAATACCTTAATAGATAAAAGGTGGGAGGGGATAGTGTTCTCAAGTGACTGGCTCTATCCGCCCATTTGTGAGGCTGTAGATCGGGAGTGCGCCAGTGCCGTTGCACGTGATGAAACGGGGAAACAGTAGGAGTGGGCTGGAGAGCATGTACTTCTGTATGTACATCGTGCGTACCTGAAAAGTTTCATTGGAAGCTTCCGAGGGATGCAAATTAAAGAAAGCATTGGTCATTGTCGCGAGCTCCAAAAAAAAAAAAAATTGAGCGAGGGCGCAGACGAGGCGTTGTGGTGCATGTATTTTCTTCTTCTAGGTAAAAAAACGTCGGTGCGTTACTTCAGGCAGAGCAGTTTCCATAGGCATGGGCAAAAGGTGTATGTACGAATATTGAAGGTTGAGGACATGGCACTCCGGCCGCCAGTTTCGGGGTGACAATTCTAGGAAAGAGTATTCCAAGACTGCCATGCAACAAGGTTTATACGTTCAGTCGAAAAGCGTGACTAAACGGGAGATTCTGAACATCTTGGCGGACTTAGGACTTTAGTTTCTACAGTGGGTGTGCCATTTCGTCCAATGAGGTAAAATGGGGATAAATCCACTCGAACTGCTTGTCTGACGAGAATGATAGGGTTTTGATTGCGAATCGTCTTCAACGGCACTATTTTGCACGCGATTATCATTTAGTTAGAGTTTGAAAATCGTCAACAGGAGAACATGCATCAATCGTGTAATCTGAAAAGCTTACGCCTTGGGCACGGGCGCAGTTGCACGGTTAGCAGTGAAGAAGGTGAGGGAATGAGGAGTGTGGGGTTGCAGGTTGAGCGGAGTTGTACCCTCGAAGGTACAGTTCTACACTGAATGAACAATCACAACCAGTTCACCAGTTCATCTCGATACAGTTTAAGGCCAGTTGTGCTCTTAGGCCTCGTTTAAATCAAGGGCAGAAATCATAAATCAATTACGCTCAAAATTGGGAGCTCGAGAGAACACAAATAGTTGTCACTGTACCACTCGAGAAGGGTACTCCACAGAGCTAAGACCCTTCTCGAGTGGACCCCTCCACTCGAGAGGGAGAAGGGTACAGTACTCCATTCTCACAAAAGTCGGCCGCCTGCTTCGTGACCCGCGTGATGGGGCACGTGACAAGGATGCGCACGACCTGAATCCTCGACCGACGGATTGATTGACGATCACAGTGACACGTTTTTGGTGGGTAGAAATGAATTGGACACAGTCTGCTACAAGAATAATATGCCAATATGTCAACATTTATATAGTGCGGCCTCTATTTGTATCACACTACCCACTACCCGGTAGTGTGATACAAATAGAGGCCGCACTGCCATGGGTAGTGACTACCCATGGCAGTGCGACGGCAGTACGCCGTGTGCGAATTGGGTGTTTCGCATAAGGCGCCCAGTTTCCCTCATCAGAGCGGTGATTAGGGGATTAGGGGTTAACATGGCGGAAGGTTTCATAGAGTTCCCCATGCCGGCCAATACCAACGCCGCCGCGCAATCAGAAAGTTGTGCTCTTGTTCGCCTACACGTGTCTCTGTTCACGGCGCCACACGACGCGGCTGATTGCAGTGCTGGCTGCCTACATTGGCATTGCCTCTGGTGTAGTGACATATAGACCCTGTGGGTCCACAGATTGGTGTTGTTCCAACATGAGGGGCAGCCATCCTTTGACCGCATATACGTTCTGGACATCGCATTTGTTCCATTCTGGCCCCTGGCAACACAACATCTTGTTGTACATAGACACAAAAAGGATCAATGCGTTTGAAAGCACTGAGTTGCGTGCGCAATGACTTGCCCCGAAAACCTGTGAGAGATGAAGTGCGATACCTGTACATGCATTCCACGCCTCTCAGTCACCGCCCGTGCTCACATATAGCCTTGTCATATCAAGCACAATATCAAGGCAGGCAGTTGGACTCTCGACCCCGCCGTCGTCGTGAGATTGCCGTGCTACGTACAGGGCGATGACTTCCCAGCTAGCTACCCTTGAAGGGTAGCTAGACCTACTGCAGAGCAATACGAGAACCCTTGCGCAAATCGAATTCAGAAATCGCAAGCGTGACATTTGCGTCGTACCACTGGTGACATAGATATTGTACATGACATTTCTCTCTTAGGTTGTTCCTTTCTCACATTGCCGCCTCTTTGCCTTCCTCGATAGAACCAATACACCAGTGTCCGCAAGAGGGTATATATACCCTTCACAACTGCCCTTCCTCTCCCAATTGCCCGTCTGCGAACGATATCATCTCGGCCTGCAACAATCGGTTACCAGTTAGCCACAGTTGATCCTTATTCTACCACAGCGCTGAGTCCAAAGAGTCCAAAGAAAAACCCACACATTTCACAAAATGGTGGCTGCCGAACCTACCCCAGAGACGATTGCTATTGTCAAATCAACAGTTCCTATCCTGCGCGAGAATCTGACGGAAGTCATTACCCGCTTCTATGAGAACCTTTTCTCTACGTATCCGGAGCTCAAAAAGCAGTTCAACATGTAAGTCACTGCCTCGATCACAATCGTTTCCCTCTCACGAAAAGCAGAGAACGCAGACGAATTCTAATTACGAGTCATTCAATGAAAAATGTTTCAGGGATCGCCATCGCGGAGGCACTGTGAAGGAGGAGAACGGAATTCCGAAGCAAGTCGCGGCCCTAGGTGGTGCTGTCATTTCCTACGCGAAGAATATTGACAGGGTTGAGGCTTTGCTACCAGTCGTTGAGCGCATTTCACACAAGCACGTGAGCCGCGGTGTTTCCGCCGCGCAGTACGACAAAATTGGGGAGTGCTTATTGAGAGCGATGAAGGACATCTTGGAGGAAGCCATCACCGAGGACATTCACAACGCTTGGGCAGAGGCGTACGGGTTTTTGGCTAGCGTATTCATCAACATGGAGACTAAACTCACGGAGGAATTGTCAGAAAAAGCTGGGTATTCTGGGTTTGTGCCCATGAGCGTGGTGGGGATGGAGACGGACGAGGATGGAAGTAAACGACTCTCCCTGAAGTCTGAAGAGTTTGGAACGCCGCAGCATGGTCCTGGGCAATATGTTGCCGTCGTGATTGAGAAGGAGGGATTGGAACCAACGATGACCAGTATGGCGACAGTCAGGGAGGATGAAGAAAATACGTTGTGGATCTATGTTCCCGACAGTCAGGAGGAATCGACTCGCTATTTGCTCGACGTCGTCGAACTTGGATCCGTAATCAAAGTTTCCGTGCCGTGCGGAAAGGTCAAGTAATGTACAGTATGTTCATATGTCCAAGCCTGCGTAATTCATGTCCAGTAGAGGACGTTCTGTGTAATTCCTGATAATCTTTCCGAGTTGAAGAGACCGCAGCTGAAGCATTCTTGTAGACAAGTATTCCGAAGAATAAAGAAACCACGATTGGAGCAACTGTTACGATGCGCATGACCTTTCTAGACTCCTTCCGGTCCGCCTTTGAAAGACAAGGTCACGAAAGAATGAGAGGAAAAGGGCGCATTGGGTGGAAGGCCTCATCTATGGTTTTGCGCGCCCGCAATGACACACGAGATCCAAGATCCCGCCTCCGTGACCGAGACTCCATGTAGCATACGTGTAAGGCTGAATGCAGGCGCCTTTGTTTAACTTAAGGTGTACCTTATCATATACCTTACATCTTTATTTACAACAGAGCTAAGACCCCTTCTTTACAGTACTACAGTACTACCCTTCAAGGGTATACAGTATAATATATTAATAATATAATTCCATATAATATATGATATAGAAAACAGTGCAACGAGGAATTGCAGCAATGCATCCCCCGTATGATCACGTTGCAACTTAACTGCATTGAGCGCATAGCCAAGTCTTTGTGCACTCGGCGATACAGTAGAGTATAAACTTTAAGTCCTGCACAAGTGCAATACGTACAGAAGCGGGTGGACTTGAAATGACCTCATGTTTGTCACTGCGGCCACGTGCACCGCAAACGCCTCTTCCTACGGTACAAACTCTCTCACTGATTTTAGAATTTCAGGAGTCGCCCACACATTGCACCTCGTGCTGCGATATGAGGCCCTCGGCAAGCCTCGGTGCTCATATCTGCACTCGGCGCGTGTCTGCACTCGAATCGAGGCGACAACCCCTACATGTCGCCCGGTGGTTGCGCCGTCATCCTCGCGATGTGTAATATTGTAGCGATACGGGAAGCTTCTCTCTCAACCCCAACGCAAGCATGCGTTTTATGGTGCAGCGACGACATGAACAACCTTGGCGCCTGGTCTCGCATCCTTCGTTGTGTTCACAAAGAGAAATCGCGCTACTGTACGGTGACCTCTGAAAGTACCAGGCCAAAATGGTTACAACCAGTTACTGCAAGTACTATAGTGTAGGCTACTTTATTTCCTGTTGTCATTTTCTGACCACCTGCACATGATTTAAAGTAGGCTACATTATTACTACAGTATCAGTACCAACAATCCCCCCACACCTTACCACAGTTCTATTCTAGAAGTACACAATTAGGACTTCCAAGCCGATCCTCCGCAAGTCCCGCTCACGTTTTAGTGTATAGAATTGGTTTATCAGCCTCGAATCGGGGATCTTCTTCTTTTCATAAATATAATGCGATACACTATTTGGAACAAAGTCAAACTTTTCAATGTACGGTATGGGAATCCATACCATACCATACACAAACGTTTTGAGTTGGAACGACCCTGAGTGTTCTGCACCAAGTTATTGCCGAAAACAAGCACGTTAAGAAAATAGAATCCAAGGTAGCCTTTTAAATAATCAATTTAATATATACATTTTTGCAAAAAAGCCCAGGTCGGAGAGACGACACTAGCTTTCTCACTTTTTCATGAGGAAAATGACCTCACGACAATGCAATTAGCAGAATGGAGCGATAGCTGCAGTTGACGCTCACAAGGGCCTGAAGCTGCGCTCTGTGCCGTACGCAGTGTCATCCGTCGAAACGGGCGGTCCCAGTGACAAATAATCTGAGGGCAACGCTGGGGAGAAGTCTTATCTGGTGTCAGCACTAGGATTGCGCTCTAAGTGCCCACAGATATCGCGATATATATATGGGAGATGTCTGAGCTTCAAGGGGCCTTTCTACACTGCCCGCTTTCGTTCCATTTGACATCACGTCTTCTCTTCTCATCTTCAAGAAAGAAAGCATGTCAGACGTGGACTGTGAAGGGACAGGGGACCAACAGCACACCGCAACGGTCTTCAAAAGGTCCGCAAACCAATGACGACAAAAACTCTGGAAAGAGCAAGGTGAGAAGGCTGCATGGAAATTCATTGCAGCGGCTAGCGAGGAAAGTCGGCGAAGCTCGTGACAAATTTATGGAAGCCTCGGACGAAGCAAAGGCGCTCAAATCCTCGCCAGATGGGTTCATCCTTGGTTCCGAATTTTCCAACCTTGGAATCTCCAGCATGTCTTTGAAGCAAGACCTCGATGTACCGCCAGCTCCAAAATACTGGGGTTTAGACCCTCAACACGTGTTTGAGAAGGTGAGGGAGTATCTGGTGCGGGAGGGTGTTGATGAAAGCGATTGTGACGAATACATTGAGGATCTCGGTAGAATACTCTCGGCGTTGCGAGGATGGACATTTGCTATTAGTGACCAAGCGCGGCCGCTCTTGCAGCTCAGTGACCATGAAGGGAATGATGACGTCTTTCAAACCACTTCGTCAGATTCTGTAGATGCGCTCGTGACTCTGCTTCAGCTTGGTGGCTTTGCGGTGCTCCCTGACATAATAGAAATTACGGACCCTCCCTGCCCAGAGGCGCTGCCACTTGGGGAATCGATAAAAGATACGCTCGACCCCACCCTATCTCAGCATAGCCCAGCGGTCCGCCAGCATATCGAAAGCAACGGCGTGAATATTGGTAGTTCGTCGCACTACCCGTATCTGTTCATCGCAACCAGGGGTGTTACTCTAGTTCGCAATTCTGGTCTACTCTTTCCTCAGAAGATTCGAGCGATAGAGCGCTCCTATTTCAGTTGGATCAGCGCCCCATTTGCTTTTTTTGTGAAACCAATTCTGGCGTTGAACGCTTTAGGATGGAACCTAGCCCTGAGGGTCACACAGAAGGAGCTAGATCGCCCTGACGGACGCGAAGACGCAGTACGCGTACTGTCGGCTGGCCCCGATGTCGTTGGGCAAAGCGGTTCCCCCAATGACTCGTCGCTTGAGCGTACAAATACGAAGCGGGTACGACGAGTGGTGCCCGCACTCAAACTTGACGGAGGATGGAATTCGTTGGCCCGATTGTTTTTGCCAACCTTTACGCAGGAGCCGGCTCACGAATTGCTGTTTTTGATGTATCGCGAGGTGGATTTAGATAAGGACTCCATTCGAAGGGAAGCTAGACGCAAGCTTGCGCAGCAAGTGAAGGAATCTGTGGCAGAAGTGATCAACCCTATACCGCGAAAACGAAGGACTGTCGACAAACCCAAATGCGAGACGGGAGAGGCTGCCTTCTACAAGTTTCAAAAACCCATTGGTCGTCTGAAGCCGGTCAGCATCAATTTGTTCAGGTCTGTTCAATGGGGTACGATCAAACACTTCCTTCCATCTACGTTTGTTTTGCCTGCAACAAGAGACTTGCTAAGGATTGATGCGTTGACACTCCTTGGACTTGTCTCGACCATTGCAACGTATGCAAGAAACGCAGAGACACCCTTCGTGTTCCCTCTTTTGTTCGGTTCGCTAGCTACTTATGCCGTACGAGTCATATTCGGCTGGCGTTCGTCTCTGAGCAAATACAAGGGTCAGATTGCCAGCGAGAGAGCTAAAGCCATTCTTTCGCAGGAAAGAAGCGCGCTAGATAGCTTAGCAGTCATAGCTGCAGAAGAGCAACTTCCAGATGTATGCAGTGTTTGGCTTTGTGGAGTTTTAAAAAACATGAAAGAAGCTAGTGAAATACAAGAGGACGTGTTCGGAGAAGTGACGCTGTGCAGGGAAACGGTCCAGTCTTGGAAGGATTGGCTCAACGACATGGCCGCGATTACCTCGTAAACGTTTCAGGAAGTGGACTCGGAGGGACCTGAAACCATTCATAGGGAATTCCTCAGGAACGAATGATCAAATCGAAGGGTTCCGCGCGCTTCAACGGATATTTTCATTTTCTTGTTTCCGCACTATCTGCTGCAGCCTTCACGTAGGATGAGCGTACGCTTATCACTCAATCAGTGTTGCAGTACGAAACTAGACCCTCGGGTGCGTTGTCCTTGTTCTGTACTAGTTCTCCAGTTAACAGCGACTCCGAAAGTTCAGGGGTGGGCGACAACACTGATAAAATGTTACACGAGCATATCTGCAGCTCATGCTTCTAACAAAGTAGTTGATAGAGCGTTGTGCCATTTAGTATCAGATTGTTCGCGTCCTGGTAGTCTCAAATTTCGAAGCAATGCTCCCGAACTGAAAAAGAGCTTGTTACAGTTAATTGTGTCCCTTGTCTTGCCGGATCATATTGTTCAGGAAATATTCTCCCGCCTTATAAGAACTCCTGACGAGCGGTCCTGCTGCGACATACCGGAATCCCATTTCTTTTCCCTCTTCCTCCCAAAGTCGAAACCTCTCTGGTGTTACGTATTCTACGACACTTAAATGCCTTTCAGTGGGTCTCAAATATTGTCCGAGTGTGAGTACATCAACGCCTGCTTCTCTTATATCCAACATAGCTTGTCGCACTTCCTCGTTGGTCTCGCCAAGGCCAAGCATAAGGCTTGTTTTTGTATATACACCAGACTCCTTCGCCCGTTTGAGCACGGAGAGGCTCTGTTCATAGCTCGCCCTTGGGTCTCTCACATAGCGCTGTAAGCGTTGGACTGTCTCAACATTATGGGCATAAACGTCAAGTCCCGAATTCGCCAAGCGGTCAACCGCCGCAAAATCGCCACGAAAATCAGAGACGAGGCACTCCACAAGCATATTCGGGCAATACATCTTCAGATACTCGACCGTGCGTGCAAAATGGTCGGCGCCCCCATCAGGCATATCATCGCGATCTACGGAGGTGAGGACCACATAATCAACCCCCCACTTGGCGACTGCGGCCGCCGTGTTGAGCGGCTCGGCTGGGTTTGCGGGCGGCGGTTTAGAGGCAGTGTTAACGGCGCAGAAACGGCAGCCACGGGTGCAGGTGTCGCCTAGCAGCATGATAGTCGCCGTGCCACCATTCCAGCATTCGCCAATGTTCGGACAGGCTGCCTCTTCACAGACCGTGTGGAGGCTGAGGTCGCGTAGATCGGATTTCATTTTTTGGAAACGCGATGCCGTTTGCTTGTTGACATCAGGGGCTGGTACGTGGAACCAACTCGGACGACGACCGGGGGGTTGTGGAGCTCCGACTCGAGGCGTGGGTGCTGGGGGCGGGGCTTGCGTCATTTGAAGGTTGAAGGTGGTGCGACGCCGGATGGGGCGGAACGGGAGAGAGGTTTGGAATGCTGGCAGAGATGGAGACATCTTGATTCAAGCATAGAGATACTGAGCGGGTAGATCGGGCGGACTTTTGTGTAGGACGCTGCGTCGTTGTGGCTCCGGCTCGGCTTTATAGAGAAGAGGTTGTTGCGAGTTCTCCTTTCCGGAAGGGTGGGAAGGAGGATTGAGTCAACCTGAAGTTGGTTTGAGCACCTGCGCAGTGAGGTATCGAAGGAGATTGAAAAACAGTCAAATTCTGCATTTTCCGGCGTGTATTGTCATTGGCAGAGCGGCAATTTGGTAGATCGTGTATCAGTGCGTACAGTACAAGCAGGTTAGTTCAATTGTCGCGGGTTAAATTCGGTGCGTTTGCTAGCGTCTGATCTTGGATTGTACACGCCTACTTGAGCTAGAAAGCTGACTAAATCCTTCTCGGCACCTTGCGCAAGAAGAATTCGTCGAGCTACCGACGGGCTTCTGAAGAGCCCAGCAGAATTCGAGACAAGTACAGCCCAGCTTGTTCCATCGTAGTAAACCTGGGATCCGACTATTCCCGTGGCGAAAGCACGTTATTTGTTGCCACCATGGTGCGCCCGGAGAAGTACGTAAAAGAAAGTCGTAGTTTTTTGTTATTTACTTAGATTGAAGGTAGGTGCTGACTGTCTCGAAACTTGTGACTTTTATCGGCTTGTGTTTGTGTCATCCAGACGAATCAAAACTGAAGCAGACTTGCAAGTATTTCTCCAATCTCGACAGTTTGCGGTATGTTATTTGAGCCCTTTTAGTGAAAGTCCCCTCAACGAAATACTTGTATCCGGACAAGTTGTGCGAGAGGTCGAGGAGAACTGACATGAATGCGGGGCGTGGTTTTGTGCGGTCTAAACATAGGAACTATGGGCGTTCCTGTTGCGGTTGAACCAATCCGTTAAGAACAAGAAGCGAAGTGCAGTTAGTCGCTCCGATGTTTCGAAGAGCGTTCTTCGCACCCTCGAGATGTTGGAAAAGTTGGAGGAGTGGATACACGACCTCCCACCGGTGAAACAACCCTCGCGCTTTGGGAACGCGGCGTTCCGTTCATGGCATTCGCGTTTGTGTGACCGGGCTCTGATGCTTATGAGTCCAATTGTTGACGCTGTCGGGGAGGGCGAGTACACACGCATCACTGGGACGTCGATGGAAATGCTGATCGAGGAGTTGGCGGAGTACCTGAAGACAAGCTTTGGGAATGAGACTCGTATCGACTACGGCTCCGGGCACGAGGCGCATTTTTTAGTGATGTTATACTGTCTCTGGAAGATTGGGGTTTACGGAGAAGAAGACGACGAGGACCTGGTTTTGTTGGTATTCCAGGCATATCTCAACGTGACACGGTTGCTTCAGAGGGAGTACATGCTAGAACCGGCGGGAAGCCATGGAGTGTGGGGGTTGGACGACTATTCGTTCCTTCCGTTTCTATGGGGTAGCTCGCAGCTGGAAGACTCCAAGAGAATCCCACCATCCGTGATCTCAGATGACGCGATGTTGGCCGAGCACAGGGAAGAGTATTTGTACTTGGATGCGATTGCGTTCATCAAAGAATTGAAGACGGGACCTTTCTTTGAGCATTCACGGATGCTGTTCGATATCAGCCAGGTGAAAGAAGGCTGGCCAAAGATCAATCAGGGGATGATTAAGATGTACAAGGGGGAGGTGTGGAAGAAGCGACCTGTGATTCAGCATTTCCTGTTCGGGAGCGTGTTCAAGTACCAAAGCCGAGCCAATGAGGAGTAAGCTGCTGTGCTCGCGAGCGGAGGTGATGTCAGTAGCTAGAAAAATGCCGTTGCGAGAAAGCCTTCCTCCGAGCGGCTGAGAATCGGCGACTGGAACAGATCGGCAGTGCGGCTCGGTTTTGTTGATGTACATTGCGCAGGTCACGCGTGCAGGTATACATTGTAATGGTCGGGCGCAAAGCGCTCCCGCCTTGACATCAACCGGTCATTCTACAGCATGTGGAGTGACGCGGATGAATGTTCAGGACTTGATAAAGAAGCAACTCGAACGCGCGGTTGGAGTTTTTCGATGAAGCATCTCTACGTTTGAACCAAGACGCCCTCCGCGATGTCTCCGCTGTCAAGGCATGTTGCTCGTAGATGTAGAAGTAGCCATAAGATACTGGGGGGCGGCAGAGATTTAAAAATCTGGCGGTTGTGTTGGTGCGGATAGACGAATATTTTGTTGCAGACTTGGGGTTTTCTGCCTCTTCAGAGGCAAGTTGAGATGAACATGATCTTTACTCCTGCGTGTTTACCCTTGACGGGTGGGCGTCAAAGAGGCCGTCAAAGAGGCGGCATGGAACCGTACACAAGACTCATGCCCGTCCATGCTGTCTTAAAGGAGGCCCTGTGTAGTACCTCAGTGGTACTGAACAGCATGGCTTGTGACAGCGATGAAAGTGGGGCAGTAGGCAGATTGGTTATAGACAAGAGCGTTCTAAAAACAACAAAAAAAAAGAAATGGGTGACATTCTAAAGCCGCGGCAGTGCAACAGGCAACGCGGCAGGCAGTGCGGCAGCAAGCGCAAACCTTCCCAACTGTCAGCATCACCTTATTGGACGCCTCACCCCCTCAAACGATCTTCAGTAGGGTTCGTGCAATCAACATTTACCGTAAGGGTAGCCGTCCAAGTGCCATCTGCGCTAACCACATTTTGTCACAAACACCAACCTCTCGTCTGCCATCTCCCTTGGCAACGCCGCCCATCGGTGACCGGGTCCCCCAGCCTTTCCCTCCCGTCATCGAGCACTGCATCCCGGGCATGACTTTCACCAGGCGGCTCGCCGTCGTCTTGTTGATCTCGGGACTGTCTTTGTTTGTTGTGTCACCATGTATTGCCACCTCTTTCTCGGCCCCGCTGGAGATGCGGCAACCCAGACCAAGATCTAGGAATTCCACCTCATCTCGCGGGTTTCCGTCCGTCGTACGACTTGTCGAGTTCGAAATTGACCCTCTATCACGCCGCTTTCCAAAGCTCACCGGTTTTCTCGTACGCAATCGCCTCCGCAGCAGGATGCCAGTCACGACCCGATTCCACAATGTACAGCTCTACGGTGGTATGGTCGCCGTCGGCGAGTATTACGCAAAAGTGAAAATCGGAGGTCAGACATTGCGCGTTCAGATTGATACCGGCTCAGCTACTCTGGCAGTGCCTGTCAAGGAGTGCGAAAATTGTAAGAGGGGAGACATGCGCTATTCTATTGACGATTCGAACAGCGGCATAGCCACTCAGATTGGTTGTGACGACGAGGCGTGTAGTGATAATACTTGTTCTCCGTTTGGCTGCGGGGCCTGCTCATCCAGTAAGGCTTGCTGCGCGAAAAGCGACCACTCCAAATGCGCTTTCCATCTCAATTTTGGTGATGGCAGTGGCGCCAAAGGTATCTTGATTCGCGATGAACTTGAGTGGGGTGATGTCAAGTTCCCTGTCACGTTTGGCGGTATCAGGAGTGATTCACCAGACTTTGAGCGATCCCAGGTTGATGGCATCCTCGGCATGGCCTACCCCACCTTAGCGTGCAACCCGAGCTGCATTACACCAACTTTTGAATCGCTGAGAGAAAAGGTTCCTATGAAAAGCCTCTTCACCATCTGCATCACGTATGACTCGGGCCAGATTATTCTCGGAGATTACGATCCAGCGCTCAGCACGCAGAAGATTTCATGGGTGCCACTGGAATTGTCAAACCCGCCGAGCTTCTATTCATTCCCCCTCGTCGGAAACCTCAAAGTGAACGACCACGATTTACCCTTGCCCTCATATACTAGAGCCATCGTCGATTCCGGTACTACACTGATTGTCTTTTCCCACGCGACGTTTGAAAAGTTCAAGAAGCATTTGCAGAGCAACTACTGTGATGTTCCAGGTCTTTGTGGTTCACAGTCGTGGTTCAAGCCCGCACATTGTACGCGGATTTCAGACGAGGATCGCAAAAAGCTGCCTACCCTCAAGTTTGGAGTGAAAGGGTTCGTGATCACGCTCGAACCGTCGGAGTACCTTATCAATTACGCGTCCAAAGGGCGCGAATTTTGGTGCGTCGGGATCATGGCCTTGGATTCCATGAGCGGGGGCGTTGATGTCATATTTGGCAACACGGTGATGAAGAAATACGTCACAATCTATGATAGGGAAAACAAACGGGTAGGATTCGCCGAGTCAGATACGAGCTGCGGATCCGATGTACATAAGATTAAAGGTCGGCCGGATGCTCTACCCATCCCAAATGCAGACGGGAACGATGACGCCGAGAATGTCTCGGATGATGACGAGGCTGAGGACGAAGTTACATCTGGACAATCACCACCCAAGAAGCCTGATGCGCTGTCAAAGAACTCACCGGATAATGAATCAAACGGCAAAGTAGGTGCGGGCGCCGCGGGGTCTGGGTCTGTGACTGGCAGTTGTAGCGCAGCAACGGATTGCGGCACATGCTCGAGAGTCGCTGGAGTGGACTGCGTCTGGAGATCATCGGATGGGCGATGTGAGGAGGGCGAGGCTGGTTTGCTCATGTGCACTGTAGATAGTTTAGCTGGCAAATTTGTTTATGTAGTAGGGGGAGCACTAGTTGCGGTCGTGGTCGTCGTTGCACTTATTGCTGCGGTGGTGCATTCATACCGCAAGCGACAGGGAGCTTCTGTTGGTACTGGTGAAGAACAAGGGGAAGTGGAGCAGCCACTTGCACAAAACGAAGTCGATACAAGGAGCGCATTTGCGATTGAAGATGAGGACGCACCAAATCCGCAGTAAAGGGAAAGGGGAAGCTGGTCGTCTAGCCCATGTTTATAAGAGAGGCGGCTTCCGAAATTCTGGGGTTCCTATATAAAGACAAAGGATTTCTGTCTGATTTTGAATAGCACGATATTGGTTAACTTGCTGCGCAGGAAGGTGTATCTTCGATCCATCGATTTTGTCAAATTGGCAATTGTCCTTTGCACTGAAATTGTCGCGAAGACTTCAGCATCAACACGCGTAGTGCCGGCCATAGCCAATAGATTGTCGAATTCGCTGGCTAGAAGTGAGCCCGATCTCCCGAAGGAACAAGCGTTTACCAACGACGGGGATAACCCGCGCTCAGACGTTTGCGATGGATCAACAGCTTTGTTTTGCGCTTGGCATGCCGGTGCAATGCATGGTCTCCCGAACAGCACAGCAAAGTATGTGCAGTAGTTCTCGGGCAGTATTATCGTCTCTACAAAAATTCCACCTCAGTGCAAGGTGTCTGGCAATGTCCATGAACGATACAGATGCAAACAGCGAAGCAGAGGATTTTCGCGTACAGGACTCACTGCCCGTCCTGTTGAATTGGTGCACGAACAAGGGGGTGGAATTGCATTCTGTTGAAGTGCTTTCCCGTGATGGGCAGCGGGGCCTCTACGCCAAGACGGACATCAACGCCGGGGATTGCATCGTTTCGATTCCAAGACAATCTGCTATTATTGCAAACATTGCAGATGAATCACCACCTAACTTTTACGAGCTTGGTGGGCTTTCGAAAGAATTCTGGCAAAGCGCGGCATGGGAAGCTCGTTTAGCGGTGGTGCTCCTGGACGAATGCGCACGCGGAAAGGACTCGCCATTCTATGAATACATCATGACCCTCCCACGGGATCCATGGTGCGCACTATGGGCATTCGAGAAACTTGGAGGGGCTCTTGTATCAAAGCAACTGCAACCGTATCATATGCATAGTGTTGCGCGCGAGTACCGCGACCACGTCAAACATACGCTTGTGTTACTGCGGAAAGCACTGCCGAAGGCCAAGCATTCTTTGGTGACTCTCGAACGTTATTCATGGGCTAATGCAATATGTCAGAGTCGAGGTTTCGGCATCCCCGTTGTGGGCACCATTGCCAACCACAACAGATTCACGAAGGGCTCTTCACCTTCACATTTCCAGAAGCGAGATGAGGTGGTGCCTATTCGGTATGCGCTCTTCCCGGGCCTTGATATGGCAAATCATTCGGTGCACTGCCAGACATCCTTCAAGTATGATGCTGACGCTGACATCTACAGGGTGCACACTGGCACGAATTTCGCGGCTGGGGAGCAAGTCTTCCTGTCATATGGTTCGAAATCGAACGATGACTTGATGTTTTTCTACAGTTTCGTTGAGGGTAACAATCCGGCAAACACGGTTAAGCTTCCGGACTTTCGGGAGTGGATCCTAGATTTAGGGCATGAGTATTCGCAAAAAGACTCTGACTGGGACGCAAAACTTGAAGTATTACAGAAGAACCACCTCACACAACCAGCCAAGTCACATGTATTCGAACTTGACAAAGTCCCTGACGAATTAATGCTCGCAGTTCGCATTGCAGTTGCTTCAAATGAAGATCTCTCCAAGCTCAAGAAAGACATAGAGGAGCAGCCAGATTGCAGACATAAACCAGTCGGTCTGAATAATGAGCTCGACGCATGGCACGCCATCGACGTGAAATGCCAAGCGCTATTGGCAGAAGCAGGAGATTTCACAGAAGATCAACAAGAGTCGCTCACAAAGATGTTTTCCAAGCGTCCGTGCAGTGCAGTCTGGAGATGGGGAGAGGAAGGATCAGACGGGGAGGTGATGTACAAGTATGAAAGGCAAACGGTGCTTAGTGTTACATCAGACAGAGTGCGCCATTTTGCGCGGATCAGCTCAGCTGTTGGACGCGTTTGTACTGTTCTTATGCCTCCTTCACAATCCTTATTGAAAGCAGATCTGTTCACAGGGATGGACGACACTGAGACATCAGGGGTTTTCAAGTTTGCAATCCCGCCTGATGATATAAACCTAACTTCATGATGCGCAGTAGCTTTCACCGCGGGGAACAGTTCCCTGGTGCTTGGGGCGGGCATTTACATATTTGACTCTCGGTTGTCAACTATTAAAAAGGAGCTCTTCCTAGGGAATCTCATGGCCAGTTCTAGGTCCAAGAGAGTGAATTGCTATTTGTCTGAAAGTACCGAGCGTTCAGGTCGCCAGTGACTGTCCACGCGGAGTCATTATGCTGTCGCAAGACACTTCATATCACCATGATACGCGAATGGTCCTACTGCCCAAAGAGTCCGTGAAGGAAAGTCCTGCTAAATTGTTTACAACTCTCACTCGCTCGAAAGGCTACGGGGACGCGAAGAAGCAGTGACGAACAGAGGCATTGGCAAAAGCGAACCGCCGGCCTCGTTCCCCTGTGGGGTGTGCTCTCTACTCAGACACGAACCATCTATTGTTGGCAATGTCATCTTCGATAGAAGCCTTCACGGTCGGGTACTTCTCAAGAAACTCATCGACGGTCAGGGTATCGATGTTATCACGCAAGAAGGTAACCTCGCTGGCGCGCTGCTCAAGCTCGACGACAGTTTCTTCTGCCTCCTTGCCAAGCTTCGCGAACTCGGCCAAGATCGGATCGAACAGTTCGTCAAGTTTCTTGGCGAATATCTCCTTCTCAGCGGTAACATCCGGAACGGGGGCGTTTTCGTGAATCTCCTTGAGCTCTTTGACAAGGCCGGGATATTTCACTGAAGACTCCCACTCATCCCAATTAATGGTAGTCGCGTCCGCCGAGACCATGCGGATGGCATCATCCTCAAGTTCGCGAAGCGAGTTCAGTTGCGAGCGGATCTGCGGGTCTTGGAACTCTTGGAACCAATCAGTAGGTTTGAAGCGCTCGGTTTGACCGGCGGGGGCCGCCTTTTCAACGGCCGTGGTTGCGAGAGCACGTGATGCTACTCTCGACCCCGCCGTGTCGCGGGTTCCCCGCAGAACCCCGACGGCAAGTTGGCGGAGCATGTTTGGTCGAAGCTGAGCGTCCTCGTAGAGCTGGGCGATCTGCGGTAAAGTTCCCTGACAGGCGGTATGGAAGCTGTGGGACGGAGAAAGCATGGACAGGGGTGTGGCGTGGTGTGGTCCATACCGATGCTGTATCTGACGCAGGGCAGGAGAGGCCAGATTGCTCATCGGTTGATGGCGATGCGAATTCCCAATTACAGCTTATGTAAGCTCCAACATTCTAGGAAAAGATTCTGGTAACCGTCCAGCAAGGCATCAATCTTCTTTTGCATCGCGCGTGATACCGCACTTCACAGTCTCAAAGCTTTGTCATCACCAGGAAACAAGTCAATGTGAACAAAGGTAGACCGACGCTCTTCTCGCAGGGGGAGCTGCTTCGAACGTCGAGCTTCCGGTGCAGGTTCTGCAAATTCCTCACTCCGAAATGGAAGAGATTCTGGACTTGCAGCGGCAACTGGCTGCGGCGCAGTTGGGGACAACTTCGCAAAAGCTGTCAGAACGAAACTGCGTCGAACTCGTCATGAAATTGCAATCTCTCAATCTCATCGATCTAATCTTCACTCGCTCTGGAAAAGAATATCTTACCCATAAACAGCTGGTGATTGAAATCGAGGATGAATTGCTGGCTCGTGGCGGTCGCACTAACGTTATCGATTTACCAGACGCCCTAAATGTCGAACTATTCCACATACAGTCAAAAATCCCGGAAATCATCGCTGCGTCAGAAGAGTCAACGCGTCTTGTGCGCGGCGAATTGCTCACGGATTATTACCTGGCCAGTATTGCCGAGGAGATCAATGACAGCATAACGTCGTCAGAGCACGGACTTGACGAAATTGGATCCATTGCTTCGCGATACGCACTGCCCGTGGATGTCGTGCGTGAAACCGTCAAGTTACACCTAGGTTCGGTCATCAGCGCAACGTTGGACGCGCAAAACCCAGACCTCATTCGCTCTGCAGCCTCCATTGCCCGCGACCGCGCTGCGGCGCGGGGACTGGTTCGCGCCATCACATCTCCGACCGTCCTGTCTGAAGCTGCGAAGGAGCGCGACTTAGAACTAACGCTGGTATCGAGCGTGGTTGACGATATGTTGAAAAACGGAGAGCTGACTGGTTCTGTTGCCGGCAGGGGAAATCGAGCTATTTTTGTGCCCGCAGTTTATGCGAAGGCTGCAGTACATGCCGCTTCATCAGCGTTCGGCTCCAATGGCTTCATTACAAAGAGCAAGATAGAGAGAATGTACATACCGGACCTGGGCGCTTTTGTTGCGGATAACTTATCGGACGCTATTGTGCTCAATGAGTGCATTGTAGGACCTTCACTGATTGATACTTTGGCTACTTCTGCCGCTGAAGCTGTGTCCGGAGGTGCGTGGCTGGACATTGAAGCTGCGCTTCCTCCTGATATTCCAGAGAGCGACGTGGGTGCAGTTTTCGATCGTTTGAAGCAGTCGATACAACCTGGGGACGAAGGAAAGGGCGAGGAGACAAAGACCAGCGGGGCCAAGCCTTCGCGATCTCGACGGAAAGCGAAAGCGGCCAACACCGACGCGAACAAAGCAAACGACACTTCTGGAACGCAATTGTTCTTCGGACACCGCTTTGTTGTATCTCCAGCGTTGAGCAAGAGTGTCTCAAAAAGACTAGTAGATGATGCAAAAGCGAAATCAAAAGAACGGGCACGCTTGATGTCAGAGAACATGTCAACCGTAGTGACGGATACCAGCCATGATGCAAAGGAAGCAGCGGTACCGAGCGACTCTTCAAGGAAAGGGAAAGGAAAAGGACGACGAAGAGCAGGAGCGAAAGAGAAGTCAACCAAAAGCAACAGTGCCGGTTCGAGCGCTTCAACTAACACTAATGGCCCTCCCATCACTGTTCCATCACTGGAAGAAGCGATCCAGATTGTTCTGTCAGAAGAAGAACTTTGTCGTGCTATCGAGAATGACTTCCTAGGGTCTTCTACAGCTGGTGATGACATGCTCTCCTGTCTCATGGAAGATATTTATAGCAACATACAGTCGCAGTACATATCATTAGCTGAGGATGCGGTAGAAGCTCTGATGAGAGAGCGCATGGTGGCCAAGATGACGCGCGAAAAGGAACTACTAACAGGCCTGGAACAAGCAGAGCTGTATTACAAGGCAACAGAGAGCTTTCCTGAAGAGGAGCTTGCAACCGCCAGCCAATGTTGGGTCATAGACGAGATCTGCACGAATTCTCTTTGTCGAGTGGTAGACGCAGTGACACAGGGAAGCGGAATCTTCGAAGCGAGTATCGTCCAGGCACATAGTTTGTCCTCGAAGAAGGAAAAAATGGAGGTAATACGGACAGTGTTACCGAAGCTTGCGCCTCCGCTCGAAACAAAGCTGCGAACATTTGTGAGCGTGGTAAGCGACAAGGGCAGTGGCGCGGTTCCGAAGTTTCTTGAATTGTACGACGAGAATACTGATTTGCTAGACCTGCCAGCTCGGCGGCCGCTCGACAGCAAAAGGGTGAAAGTCGCTCATACAGAGGCGCGCACACGGATGAAGCAGGCACTCAAAGATCAAGACCTGACGGGCAGCAAATCTTTAGTCATGGCGACAGCGCTTGTTCATGCGAGCGGGGCAGGAGGAGTAGTTGTGCAAGTGCCCCCTGACGCAGTGATGGGGTTCTGCAAGGCCACTGAAGAACGGTCGCGGCCATCGTCGCAGGGGGATGCATTAGCGGCTCTCAGGGAAGCCGTTGAGCAGGTGGGGAATGGAGATAGTGACGGGGCCGCCGAGGAAACAAGGATACTGGAGATCCGGGAGAAGGTCGCGGTATTGCTTGCTACACTTGTATGACGTAGATTGTTGTCATGTAAATCGAAGCCGGATAGTTTCCGAAACCAAGCTTTGGGGCATCTAAACATGAACCTTAGCTGATGTACGCGAGCGAACAAACTTTGTGCAGAAATTAGTGTGAGCCGTTATTGGGCTGTGACACAGGTACTGCCAACGAAGCCGGGGGCGTGGGAGCAGTCTTCACTTGCACGGGCTTCGGCTGCGTGCAACTCTCTTCGCGATCGACATGAGGCAGTGTCTGGGCGAGCGGGTAGGCGACAGAAGCGGACGACAAGGTGATAGAGAGGAGTCAGCGGTCTAAACAGCGAGTGCGATACCGCAAGCACGTGTGTAGCAGGGGCACAAATGACAGACAGATTGTTCATACCATATCGGGATTAATCGTGACATGGACGATGTGGGCGCCGGCGAGAAGACTCGCAAAGGAGGCGGAGTACAAGGCAGCCATGCGCAAGAAGGGGGAGGCGAGCATGGCTGATGGTTTGCCTGCTGAGAAAGTGTCAGGCGGGTCGGGGTGGCGAGCAGGAAGAGGCGATAGTGAATGTGGGCTCTACAGTACAGTGTCTCTCAGGCTAGCGAAGGGAGACTTAGGAGACTTAGGTCTACTACTGTACTGGAGACAAGACTGTAGGCATGGTATATGCTTACAGAAAGAGGGCGCCGAGCGCGTGCCCGGCGAGAAGACGTTGCATTGATCAGAGATGACGGCGATGAAAACAAGCACATGTGCCCGAACCTTCTATACACGTAAAACACGTGTACGGAATCTACGAGAGTTAGATGCACTGTAAGATGGTCCTTTTTCGCTTTGTATCCGAGCGATGAATGAGAGGTGCAGGAAGCCGTGGGGGAAGCAAAAAGAGTGGAACACACCCGCGATTGGTGAGGAGGGAGCGGTGAATCACATGCTTCGCAGTTTGGTTTCTGACGGATGAGCTGGAATCGATGTGGTCGGAGGAGGGAATACTGGGAGATCTCTTGCTACCTCTGAGGTGCGAGCTGTGATTGGCGGAACGGGGCGCATGGCTGGTAACAGTAAGATGAGGCTGCGCAAATAGAGTGGCAGGCGGATGCAGCTCACTTGGCCATGCAGGCGTGGGCCATGCAGGCGTGGTTCGTCCGTGTAGAGAAGAACATAACACGACTAACAAACAGGTGCAAGTCGGTGGCGAGAGTAAATGAGTTTAAAGACCTACAATAATAATGCATGCGTATGGGCGCAGCTGTGCTAATCTATAAAAACCAGCAAACGTAACAAAAATGGGGTGGATGGGGAGAGAAGTGCAAGATCACGCCGACGAAGAAAGACGGAATGTGCATGGCAAACTTGGAGATAAATTGGAAGAGCGGCGAAAGCTAGACGACAATTGTAGAGGCGTTGAGGGTGATGGCGCGGAAGAGCGGTTGAGCGGCAAGAGACTCGGTGACAAAGTCTGGAAGCATGGGGCGAACGTTGAGGGGTAGCAGGTCGCAATGTGCGGCCTCGCACTGCTGATTAGTTCGGAAGGGGACGCAGCCGCCGCAGCCGCCGTGCACGAAGACTTCACAAGCCTATCGAGAGAGCAGGGGAGGTGATGTGTGGGGGGTTGAGGTG